AATCATGATCATCATCATCATCATCATCATCATCATCATCATCATCATCATCATCATCATCATCATCATCATCATCATCATCATCATCATCATCATTATCATCATCATCATCCAAGTGGCCCAAGATAACAAAGTACTTGGTTTATTATTGTTTCCTCATGGCTCTACTCAGAGTTATTCTAAACTCAGGAAGCACAAAGTAACTCTATCATGGGAATGGAATTAGCGTGAGAGTGATATTTTCAGAGAGAGTGAAAAAATCAGTACATTAAATGCAGCAGTGACCTAACAATCAAGCAACAATGGTTTTGAAAAACTAGTTACAGTACTAGATATTCGGGGGGGGGTAATAGAACTGTGATTATGAACAGCCAACAAAATGGTACAGGGATATAAATTTAATTTATACTCTTTACTCAATTATGAGTCAAATTAAGTAAAACTTTTTTTTGAATAACTTGAAAAAAATATGAGTCAAGATGCGGTGGAATCAGGCGCTCATCCATTTTTGAGGATGTGAAGTTATTGGTATCGTCTGAAAGCAGATTTATTTGCCTTGCTTCCAATGAAAAAAATATCTATTTATCTTGAATAAAACTCAAGATATTAGTGATAGAAGATAGTGAGGTCGCCTGGTTTCAGTGGTGACATTAGCAAGAACCGTACCAAAGTTTGGTAACTCCAATAGCTAAAGAGTCTTTGAAAACAGAAAAAAGACATATTTTGTGCCTTTAATCAATGTTTTTCAGTAAAATTCACATGGAATTTGTTTTTATATGGAAATAAAAGAGGTTGAGCCAAAAAATAAAAATTCTATAAAAATTCCAAACTGGCGGAAAAATGCCCGTTTCTCTGATTACGTTATTTTAATTAATTTCACCACACTGCCTCACATATGGCAATGGGTCCTCTTTGATTACAATGGGAAAGGGGGGAAGGTGGGGCTGCCAAAAGACGTTTTGGAGAGGCCTCAAATTCAAGAGAATGTGTCTGTGAGCATGCATTTCACAAATATATATATATATATCAGTCAGGAAGCCTTACCAATCCTCTGGGGGCATGATTGCATTTATGATGAAGGAAAAAGACTTTAAGGTAACATTTTGAGGGACAGGTTCAGAGGTTTTGAAATCTGCACATAGTTTAACTTTTCAGAAAGAACATGAAAAGGTTTGATAATAGTTTGAAAGTAAAATATGCAATGTTTGTAAACAATTTTTAATCTTTTACAACCCAGCTGACACAGTTTAGATCATTAAAAAAGCGAGCTGCTTGAACCTTGCTAGCCAAGAACAACTTTGGCTTTGTGGCATACAATATCCCAGCAGGCAGATGGAGGGATGCTTAGTAAAATAACTTCCCTATACACGAGAATCGAACTCCCATCTTTCAAACACATTAATAATGAGAGTAATCATTACTCTACAAATGTTGGGGAATAAATATGCATCATAATATGTACAATTATGTTATAATTTTGACAATTACTTTCATGGTATGGCATGACACTCTCTGTCTAAAAACAATGAATAATGATCACACGTAAATATATATCGGCCAGTTTCACTAAAATAACTGTCTTTTTATTGTTGCCCTTGTTCTGTTAATCAATGTAAAACAAGTTTTGGGGAGAATTGTATTAGGGAACAGACAGTCTGCTGTGAAGTATATTGCTTCTTTCAAATTCAAACATGAGATTATAGCTTTGCAACTTTTATGTTTCAGCAGAAACTGGACACCTGTAATTTTGCAAACAAGATTAACAATAAAAGGATGGTCTTACTCACACACACATACACTCACATGCAAAGACATATGCACACACACACACACACACACAAACACAAATACACACAAATACAAAATGCCCCCCCCCCCCCAAAAATACCCAACCCCACACACACAAGTGTATGTACACCCATACCCGAATGATTGCAGAACAGAGCACAGTGTAGGTACATTTTGTACAAAGCAAATATTTCATCAGAAGCACTGGTCCAGTGGTGGTGGGTGGAGCAAAATTTGGGTGGGGCTTAGGTAGCTTCCACTTCTTTACCACCAAATAGCAAGCAATAAGAACAAAACAGTGGTGATTTTTCTATACTCACGGTGAGCCGCGGCATTTTGAGAACCATTCAAACAAGAAGAGCAACCTTTGTTTTCCATTTCTTTTTTCTTAGTTAAATTTTTGTTGATGGTAGGGACAAAACTGTTTCACCTCCAAATTTAATTTAATTAATTATTATGTCATGAAAAAGTTGCCTTAACTCATTCGCTACGTATTATTTTCGGCTTGTGGACAAATTTTTTTGGGGGAGGGCGAATGAGATGATGACTAGTGGGCAGTTAAAAGGTCTTTGGGGCCATAAATTTAAATAAATATCAACGTATTATATACCAATATTTTCAGTATGGTTTGGAGAATACATCAGTAATGTTTATTTATGAATTTTTCAACTTTGGTTCCTGTAAGAGACGATTATATAACACAATTTTGATTGGATGCGGAAAAAATTTGAAAATAAAAAATTAATAATCTTTGGTGAAACTCAAAAAATATATTTGCACCTAGTCAAATGATACATCAAAATAACCATAAATGAATACAGAACTGGAAAATATTGAAAAGTTTGCAGTTATTTACCTACATTCCATAATATTTGTACATTTTTAACATAACATCCGATATTGAAAAAAAATAAAAAATTTTAATCTTGAAAAATGAGCACAAACAGAAAAAAACCCACTCGTATCTTATATGGAATTATTCAGAATTGCATACAGAATAAACCTATATGTCTTGAGTGGCACTTTTTGTGTAATTTCATCAAAAAGTAGTGATTTTGGGGAGAAAAAAATATTTTGACAATTTAGATCTAGAGCTAGACCTAGCACTAAAAAATATTGATTTCTCAATAACAGTGCATTGGCAATATGAGTCCAATCGTATCAATATTATAAAAAGGAGTCCTACATTTCTTTAGTGGGCAAAATAATGATAAATTTTGTTGTGTAAAATTACTAAGACTGGTGTCCAGGCTATAATTTTGGCATCGCGATAAAACAAAGTCGAATAAACTACGAAATCGCGTTTCAAAACTGAATCTAAATTTCCGGTTTTCAGTGGAAATGCTTGACCCGGAAGTCAACATTATATTATGACCTTTATTTTTTCCTGGATATGTGGATTGGAATAGAAACCAAGCTAAAATTGAAGATCGGTTCTCGAGCCGCCGGGACGGCTTAGCGTACTGACGGCACATTAGCCACGCCGCCCCCCATGGCTCGGCGTAGCGAATGAGTTAAGAGTAATTCGAGATGATTTATAACTGTTAAATCGCAGCGGAACAAACACAAACATGCACACACAGCACTTCAAACATATTGCTTCTATGAGCTGGATTAGGCCATGTAGTCGAGAACGTTGAACGCACCTAACAAAGAACCAACGAGCGCATAGATATCTGTGTCAGTGGTTCAAGCCCGTGAACCCTTCACTACCCACCGCCACTGACTGGTCTTTGAATAAATAATAACTTTGTCTCCTTTAAACTATTTCATCCAAAATGCACTCTACAATTAAATGTACTTTGGACAAAATAGTTCTGAGGAGACAAATTTATGACAAAAAAATTTATGGAACAAGTATTTGTAACGGGGGGGGGGTTCTAAACAGACAAAAACATTCCTAATCATATGCACAACAATACTGTGCACTCACCAGCCATGACAAAAAGACATTCAGTAGCTTTTTGGCGAACTGTTATATCGTCATCTTTCAGCAAGTTTTTCAAGCTGACTCCAATACCTGTCAAGTATATAAAATACTGTTATTAAAAAGCAGTTCAGCTACTGGTTTATAGCATTCATCAAAGTGTGTGTGTGTGTGTGTGTGTGTGTGTGTGTGCGCGTGTGTGTGTGTGCGTGTGTTTGTGTGTGTGAGTGTGTTTGCATGTGTGAGTGTGTGTGTGTGTGTGTATTTGTGTGTGTGTTTGTGTGTGTGTGTGTGTGTGTGTGTGTGTGTGTGTGTGTGTGTGTGTGTGTGTGTGTGTAAATGTCATATTTTGAGACAACTAATTAAAGCCAAGATAAGAACGTCTGTATAACATCACCAATTATGAGGCTTCTTTTTGAGCCAACAACTGCTCAAATCGCTACTTAATTCAAATATCTTATTAGAAAACTAAACATTACATTGCTTTGAAATCTCAGCTGTAAATTTCTATTCTATCAATTCATCAGTGAACAGTATACCCATAACACTAGAGCAATTTGTATACATTTTTATCTTCACTACAACCTAATCGGTGCTTACTAACAATGAGAATTCTTACAGCAAAGGCACCTGCTCACATATTATCAACTCCTAAAATATTTATAATGTCTCTTTGTGTTTAAAGAAAAATAGCTTTATTTTAGTGTAAAGCAAGTATGACTATTAGACCTGTGCATTGTCCTATAGGCATTTTTGATGGTGTCTGGCACAAAATCAAACTCCAAAATTTTGTCAAACCTGATAGGAACTCATCAACACGTTTAGGGCTTACAGTGCTAATAAGCGTATGGATTAGGAATTATATGAATAAAATAATTCTCATATTATTATACTACAGCCAAATCATTGCCTCTGTCTATTTTGGTCGATTGCACAGGATCTGTTTCAAAATCAATTTTTCTATATCTCAGGTAACATTTACACCTCTCTTTTAACAGCAAGTTTAACTGATTCCATCCATTCAGCCGCTGACAGCAGCTCAGGGTTTTTCCTCTGTTGCCATTCGACCGCTGTGGGCGGCTCAACGAAATCCAAGCAAAATTCGAAACGAATGTGCACTTTTTAACATAGTTTCTACTTATTAAGTTGTTGAAAGGAAGTAGAACTTGTAAACAAGCCTGGCCTCAATCTGTAAGCGCCAACATCAATCGAAACTCTGCGAAATTCTTGCAAAAATCATTGTTTTGTGGTCGCAATGCAGGCACGAAGTAAGGGTAAACAACATAATATGGAGCCTGGTGTAATAAAAAGGCCCTTCAGAGAGAAAAATTAAACTAAATTCGTGAAATTCTTGCATAAAAGTGTGCTAGAGAGATATCGCTACTATTTTGTGTTGATTCCAATGGATTATAAGGACTTGTAGAGCTGAGAAAATGCGGTAAGTCGAAATTTTCGAAGAGGTGTTGCGCAATTTAGTTTTCTCATTCGTTTTTGTCTGAGGGAAAATACAATACAAACAGGTCATAGGTCATTGTTATTGATATAAACAGATTCCTCTATTGATTTTCATCAGTTTCATATGACAATACATATAAGAGTAACTTAAAATTACAGCTTCACAGTAATGCACTAAATAGATGCACCCCAGGTCTAAAACTGAACAGGGAAAAATAATTCTGTCCAGAGCCTGAAAAAAGCATGGATGGAATCAGTTAATAATCGGGAATCTTCGGTTACCGAAGAAAAACCCGGAATAGCCTACCTCTACTCTACATCCTTTTGACAACTTAAAAAGGAGGAACTATGTGAAAAAGTGCGCATTTGTTCTGCATTTCGCTCGGATTTCATAGAGCCGTTCACAGCGGTTGAATGGAGGAAGCGGAAAAACTCAGAGCCGCTGTCAGCAGCCAAATGGACGGAATCAGTTAAAGGCCAGGAACCGTAGGAATTGGTTCCGAACCCAATTACTTTCATTATACTTGTAGAGCTGAGATAATGAGGTAAGTTGAAATTTTCGAAGATATGTTGAGCAAATTTTTTTTTCTCATTAGTTTTTGTCTGAGGGAAAATAGAATACAGTCAGAATATAGGTCATTGTAACTGATATGATCAGATTCCTCTATTTATTCCCATCAGTTTGGTATATCAAAATACATATTATGAGTAACTTAGAACCTCACAGTAATGCATTAAATAGATGCATCCCAGGTTAATAATTGAACAAGGAAAAATAACTCTGTCCAAAGCCTGAAAAAATCATGGATGGAATCAGTTAACAAATAATCAGAACTCACCATTCCTGAGCGCCTCAGCAATATGCTCTGGATCATGCAGGTGGTCACACAGAGACATCACAGCTCTTTGTCTCACTATGAGATTTTCATCATTCAGTTCACGATTCTAGAAATAAAAGTAAAAGTTTCTTCATGAGCACTGAACCTTAGGTTATTTAGTGAAAATTTATGAAATTAGTGGTACGTGCACTAAAATATTGTGGGGAACAGGGTAAAGACATCTAATTTTTGTGGTCAACTTACATTTTAGCCTCCTTCCTGCTGTAAAATAGGGCCATATAATATAGTTTGAGATCTCAACTTATAGGCCTAGGTGTCACGGCGCAATGGAATCAGGCGCTCGTCAATTTTTTGGCATGTCAAGAGATAATTAGTATCTTCTGAACGCTTGTTCATTTGCCTTGCTTTTAGGGAAACAAATACTCATCTATCTTGAATAGAAGTAGAAATATTAGCGATCCAAAGAGATGGGGTCTCCTGGCTTGAGTATTAAGATTAATGAGAAAATGGTCACCAAAGTTTGGGAACTTCAATGGCTTGGGAGTCTCTGAAAACTGAAAAATTCCATATTTTGTATTTCTAATCAACGGTTTTCAGTAAAATTCACATGGAAATGTGTTTCTATGTCGCCATAAAAGGTGTTGAGACAAAAAAACAAAAAATTTGATAAAAACGGCTAGACTGGTGGAAAAATGCCTGTTTTTTTTATTTTATAATTTTGCCTAGCGCCTGGTTTCACCATGAAGCCTCACATATATAATTATAGGCCGCGGCTATTCGGACTCGAGTCTGAATAGCCTCCCCTGGCTATTCGGACTCTAAACTCCAATGCGCATGCGCAATCAACGGGTGTACCGGACGCGAAGCGGACAGGCAATTCGACCTTGGCCTTCCTCAGTTTCTACAATCTGGCCAAAATTTTCGACACAAATTAAGAAAAGAATTAGTCTAGTGACATCAAAAGTGAACAACAGTTGCAAAATCTGAAATACTACACAACAAAGGCAAATACAGGGAAACGGCAATTTAATCTTTGATCATTAAAGCAGTCAAAAAAATGTTTCAGAACAACAAAAGATTATAACTCTATAGGTAGTCATTGGACGAGAAAGACAAAAATTATTGATCAATAGGAAGTCCAGTCAGGAATTAAGAAGAGAAAAGTTAAAACCCTTTCAAAGGGAACAAAAGTCAGTCGTTCAAAGTAACAGTGGTCTAAAGGAAAAGCTTTTCCAACAGCATACTTTATATGATGTTCAAACAAAATCAGGGCAATACAATACTGCGCATTGGAGTTTGAGTCCGAATAGCCACTTCGATAATTAGCCTATATTATATGTCCTAATAATATTAGGCAACGGTTATTGGTACAACAATGCGTACAACTCTAACTAGAGTTATTAGTACAATTGTACCAATAACCAGACAGAGTTATTCGTACAATTATTAGAAATTTGGAGGTTGACTGTAAAAATAAGCCAAAATCACTAGATCTTGTCATCCAATTGGTTCTCCCCTAGGTTGAGCATCATTGTAATAACTTTAACCAGGCCTAAATTGGTAGGCCTAAAAGGAAAAGTAGGCTAGATCTATACTTCTATTAAAATATAAGTAGATCTATAATTATGACTATTATTTATGTTTCTTTGTTTTTACACAAAACCATGAGTGGAAATCTTTGAAGTCAAAACAAACAATTATGGGAAAAAAATTGTTGGTCAGTCGGGGGAGGAGAGAGAAGAAGGAAAAAAAAACCTGGGATTTGAACCCACACTCATAATATATAGAATCTAATACTTCTTCATACGCAGACACGCTGTAGAATGAAGTAGAGAATTAAGCTTAACTCATTCGCTACACCGAGCCGTGGGGGGTGGCGCGGCTAAAGTGCCGTCAGTACGCTAAGCCGCCCCCGGCGGCTCGAGAACCAACGTTCAATTTTAGCTTGGTTTCTATTCCAATCCACATATCCATGTTAAAATAAAGGTCATAATATAAAGTTGACTTCCGGGTCAAGCACTTCCACCGAAAATCGGAAGTTTTGATTCAGTTTTGAAACACGATTTCGAAGTTTATACGACACTGTTTTATCGCGAAGCCCAAATATATAATAGCCCAGACACCAGTCTTAGTACTTTTACACAACAAAATGTATCATTATTTTGCTCACTAAAGAAGTGTAGATCTCTTCTTTATAATATTGATACTACTGGACTCAAATTGCCAGTGCACTGTAATTGAGAAATCAATATTTTTGAGTGCTAGATCTAGGCCTAGATCTAGATCTAAATAGTCAAAATATTTTTTTTTTCCCAAAATCACTACTTTTTGGTGAATTTACTCAAAAAGTACCACCCAAGACATGTATAGGTTTATTCCAAATGCAATTCTGAATGATTCCATATAAGATACGAGTGTTTTTACTTTTAAAGTTTATTTGTTTTCAATATCGGAGGTTATGATCCAAATGTACAAATATTATGGAATGTATGTAAATAACTGCTCATTTTTCAATATTTTCCTGTTCTATAAACAGTTATGGTTATTTTGATGTATAATTTATTTGACAAGGTGCAAACATTTTTTTTTTGTTTCGTCTGATATTTGTTGTTTTCAAATTTTATCTGCAGCCAATCACAATTGTGTTGCATAATCGCCTCTCACAGGAACTAAAGTTGGAAAATACTCAAATAAATAATACAGATGTATTCTACAAACTATACTGAAAATGTTGGTACATAATATGTTGATATTTATTTGAATTTATGGCCCCCAAGACCTGTGAACTGCGCACTAGTCATCATCTCATTTCGCCCTCCCGAAAAAAATTCGTCCACAAGCCGAAAATAATACGTAGCGAATGAGTTAAACTTTTACAGCACGGTTTCAACGCAACACACATTTCTAGATCTATCTAGAGTTTAGATCTAAATCTAATCTAGACTTTGTTGTTCTTTTTACATGGGGGGAACACCATCAATGAGGCGGCTGGCATCAAATCGGCAGATAAGGTCTGACGAAAAATTTAAACATTTCAGCAGGTGGAATATTTGAAACACTGATCTAGAATCTAGATTTCTAGATCTAGAATCTAGATCTTAAATTAGATCTGCTAAGACAGAACATGTAGGCAGTAGGCCTGTGAGCATAGATCTAGGCCTACTCCTACTATTGTACAGATACTTGTAGCACTTCGACGACTTCGTACAATTGTTGTGTGTACAACGTTGTACGGATAACTAGACAGAGTTGTTCGCACAATTGTTTGGTACAATATTGTACGGATAACTAGACAGAGCTGTTCGCACAATTGTTCGGTACAATATTGTACGGATAACTAGACAGAGTTGTTCGCACAATTGTACGGATAACCACTCCGTAATATTATGACTATGATGAAGATCATATGAAATTTCTCCGGTTGATAGTATAGCCTACAAGTTTAGATCTAAAACTTCAAGGTATTAACATGTGTATGATTTTGAAAATGTCATGATCATATTATTGATTGCATTTATACGTTTAGGCGTCGGTTTAGTAACGTAAAGTTTAGGTCTAGGCCGTTGCCGTAGCTTTAATTCTTGCCTTGAGTCTTGAGTTTGAGGTTGAAGTGTGAGTGAAGCACAATAGTTATATAGACCTATAAGGTAATAATATACAATTAGTGAACGATATAAACGTATTAAAATCAAATACAACACTGCACACTTACTAATCGTGGAATTGCACGATCTCCATATGCTAAAGGAGTTCTGGTTGGGTCGATGTTAGGTGGGTATTTCGCTGAGATGATGGTGCTCGCCATTTTGTAAATTGTAAATAGTGTCCATAACAACAGGAGCTACTAGATCTAATCTTTTCCGCATTTACGTATATAAGTGTGTTTGGAATTTATGAATAATTAGTTGAAAACCTTTTTCTTTTCAGGAAGTTGTTGACGTATTTGTACCAAATGCCCTTTTTGTTGTCAAAATACGTTTAAAAAAAGCATTCTACACTGAAGTAGGCTATTCAATTTATCAACAACAACCCGATGGGGGAAAAAAAGTTTATGTTTTCCACCGGAAATTGCTGGTGGTAGGCAAAATGAATCATGTCTCACAGAGGTTATAATAGTTCAACCTCTTTGTTTGTACAATATTTTTGTTCAAATAATAGACCTATAATATCTCTTTGGCTATTTGAGAAACCGATATATCTTCCAAGATATTAATATGTTGTGTCGAATACGGTTCATAAAAGCGATGGACATTGACAATTCAAACAAGGCGGCGAATTGACTTCACAACAAAGATTTGTAACTATTATAGAGTTGCCAGCCCTGCTCAGAAGAAAAAAAGAAGAAAAAAAAAACGATTGGGGAACGTCGTTGAGCAAAAAAAAACAACAACAGCAAAAACAACGGTACAACCTAAATTGATAAGGACTTTACTGAATTAAAATTAAATGAAATAAATCAAATTGGCCCTGGAATAACACAATATGGCGGAAAAGACGCGCAGCTCGCTCACTCGTATGATAAATTTATAATGGTATATCTTTATAAAAGAAAAAAATCAATCTTTCATTGGATTTCATTGTCAGAGATCAGGTAGTGTAATGAAAATGGGAGGCCCGGGAGAGGGGGAGAGGAGGATTTATTTGATATTCCAAATTATACGTAGGGCCTAATATAATATGGATTTGACAAACACCCATGCTCACCCAACGCTCACGTGTACATTCATAAACTTTTTTAAAAATCAAATCCTGTCACTTGCTAAAATCTATACATATACCCACAATTTTACGTTTTCAGGGAAAAACACAGTTGTTGACGATGTTTCTGCTGAACGGACGGGCGACAAAAGTGCATCTGTCAAACGCGGTTTGGTGTGAACACATATAGGGCCTAGAGGTAGGCCAAGTGAAGAGACATACATTTTATTTGTGCATTTTGTTGATCAGCCGCTATTGGTCGTCTACTGTCTGGCATTCCTGGTGGAAACGACGGGCTAAATTATGACTGTCAGCGACCGTGCGCATCGTCGAATGGAGCTCCGTGCGCTATTCTCATACGTTATGGAGCTCCTGTATCGTTCAATTTTTATTCCGAATCCAATGTGACACAGCCTGGACCGGGCTGGCAAAATCATAGACCTAACCCCCATAATATGGAAAAGTAATAATGGGAAGTCGTAAACAAACACAAACAAACAAACAAAGCGGGGGGAAAGGCAACTATGCAGGTGTTGACAGTTCAAAACAAACCATAAAGGACGCTTGGAAGATTGCTAAGAAGCACTATTTGCGATATCTGGTGTAATAATAATAATAATAATAATAATAATAATAATAATAA